GCTCTGGCTGGTGGAGATCCTCCTTGTGCAGACACGGGTCTCAGCGGGCTCTCTCTCTGCCTGCGGCCCAGATTCCCACAGCAGAAGCACTCTAGAGAACTGGCATATTGAGAGATGGGAGGAATTCTGCCTCGCGTCCGCCTTCCCCTCATTCTGCCTCGGGGAAATCCCCGACCTCTCCCTCTTGGGTTGTAGGTTTGGGTAACTGCTGCAGCCAGCAACCTAATTTCACTTGCTTGCTTTCTTTCTTTCCTTGCTCTTGCTTTTTCTCAAGTTTTAACCTTTCGCCACCTCTCCCGTCAAAAGCAAAACCAGCAACGTTCAAGATTTGACTGTTTCACCTTGCCAGCCTGGCGTGAGGTGCAACACCGGAGGGGTTCGACAAGGCTGGAAGCGGGGCGTGTCCAAAGCCAGGTTACACAAACCACAGACGATTATCCTCAGCTGGGCACAAATCCGCACCCCAGGGTGGGGGGATAGCGGGTGCCCGCCCTTGGCTTCTGCAGAGGGGGCTGGGGGGCTCCTGCTCCCCAGTGAGGGGCATGAACAGCCGTAAAACCAGCAGCAGTTGGTGCCCCTGGGCGCTGCACGTGACCCCGGCGCGCTGCGGGGAGCCGGGGCAGGAGACTGCGCCTCTTCCATTACCCTCATGGCGTCCCTGGAAACCCAGCTGCTGCCCTGGGCGGAGGCCGGGACCCGGCGCTGGGGATGAATAATTCACCGACGGGAAACAAAACCTCCAGCCTTAAAACCGATCGCGCCCTGCTTGGCGCCTGCTGCCGGGCATCGGTGGGGAAAGGTGCCAGGGAGGGGCCGTGGGCAGCGGGAGCCGGCGGCATCCCACAGGGCCGGAGCTGGGGCGACGCTGCGGCACCTCTGCAGGGATCTCTGCCACTTGCTGCTGCGTCTCCTTGGGCGCGTCCCTTAACCTCCCAGGATTTTGCTCTCAATGGGAACAATCTTCCCTTTCCTTGCTCTTTAACCAAGGCCGGAGACCGGGATGTCCGGCAGGGCGGGCCCCCCAGTGCCCACCCTGGGCTCTCCCCACCACCCCTGCCCCAGCGGGCTTCAGTGCCCCCACGTCTCCCTGAGTTCAACCCTGAGGTTTCCTTTCCCAGCTCGCTCTGAGCCAGGGTCGTGGGGAGCAACCCCCAAAGCCCGCAGCCCCCCAGGCCCTGAGGCCCCTGGAGACGGTGCTTTCCAGAGCACGAAGCCACCCGCGGCGCCAGGCAGGCAGAAGCTCCAAGAAGGCGGCGAGGAGCGGCCTCGTCCCTGCCTGCTCCAGCCCGCGGCGCGGTCCTTGTCACCCCCAAACCCTGTCCCGGCCCCCTGCCAGGGCCCAGCTGGGGACCCTCCATCCCGCCCCCCACACCCACACAGGGCTCGCTGCACAGAGAGCGTCGGTCCCTGGGGGGGGCCGTGCCCCCCCGCCCTGTCCCAGCCCTGACGTCACGCCGGCGCTCACAGACAGCACGGACGTCCCCCCGTGTCCCCCGAGATCTGCGCAGTGCGGGAACGCGGCGGGATGGAGCCCGGAGCTGGCCCCCTGCTCGCCCTCTGCCTCGCCGGCTGCCTCCTGGCCCCGGGTAAGCAGCAGAGGGGCAGTGAGGGGTGCTGACACCCCCCCACCCCTCGCGGCCCCGGGGAGAGGGTCCCCTGAGCCCTGCGAGCAGCGGCAGCCCCGCACATCGGGCAGCCCTGGGTGCGGCACGGCCTTGGTGGAGTTGGGGGGCTCGGGCTGGTGGCGAGGAGGGATGGGGGTCCCCGTGTGCTCCCCCAGCCGCCCTCAGCTGGTTCCTGGGGGTCCCTGGGGAGGGCTCTGGCTGCACCCCCGGCTGCAGCCCCTCCAGCCCCACTCTGGGTCCCCGCAGGCTGTTGGGGGGCTCAGGGCAGATTCGCCTACAAGTTGCTCCACGACCTCTTTGCCAACTACTCCAGCGCCCTGCGGCCCGTGGAGGAGACAGAGCGGGCGCTCAGCGTCACTCTCCAGGTCACCCTCTCCCAGATCATCGACATGGTGAGTGGCACCAGCGCTGGCGGCGCAGCCCAGCCAAACAAGGACTGTCCCCGTCGCACTCCTGGCCACGGCTTAGCTGGGCTCTGCTCTTCCCCAGCGGGTCCTGCTCATCCCTCGAAACTAGCCAGGACCCCCCAAAACCAGCCCAGCTGACCCCAGGTCAGCTCAGAGCACCTAAACACAGCCCAGGCCCCCCCAAACCAGCACAGCCCCCGGCAGCGTGAGGTGGGATGAGGGAACTGGGGGGTTCAGTCTGGAGAAGAGGAGGCTGAGGGGGGTCCTGTGCAGAAGGGGCTGTCGGGCGTTGGAATGGGCTGCCCAGGGTAGGGGGGAGTCCCCGGGATCCCTGGAGGGGTTGAAGAGTCGGGCTGAGCCAGCGCTGAGGGATCTGGGGGAGTTGGGAACGGTCAGGGGGAGGGTCATGGTTGGGCCGGAGGGGCTGCAAGGGATTTTCCAACCCAGAGGATTCTGGGGTTCTGTGACTCAGATCTCTCCCACCCCCCTAAAGCAGCACCCTGGAAGGCAGCTCAGCTCCTCCAGAACCCTCGCAGAGTGTTGGGGGCTGAGGGGGGGTGGGGGCACCAGGGTCTGTCCCCGCGCCCACCCACTGCCCTCGGCAGGACGAGAGGAACCAGGTCCTCACCACCTACCTGTGGGTGCGCCAGGCCTGGCTGGACGCCCGCCTCGCCTGGGACAAGGACACCTACGGCGGCATCGACAGCATCCGCATCCCCAGCAGCTACGTCTGGCGGCCGGACGTCATCCTCTACAACAAGTGGGTTGTGCTGGCCACCCCCCCACACACCACGGCTCCCGGAGCTGGGGGGGCTCTGGCTGGTGGAGATCCTCCTTGTGCAGACACGGGTCTCAGCGGGCTCTCTCTCTGCCTGCGGCCCAGATTCCCACAGCAGAAGCACTCTAGAGAACTGGCATATTGAGAGATGGGAGGAATTCTGCCTCGCGTCCGCCTTCCCCTCATTCTGCCTCGGGGAAATCCCCGACCTCTCCCTCTTGGGTTGTAGGTTTGGGTAATTGCTGCAGCCAGCAACCTAATTT